TCTTGTCAACACTTATTTTGTCAACTATTATGTCACATTCTTCAAGCAAAGTAGCATTATTCATTAATTTGGTCCAAGTAATATTATTAATGATGGTTAATTATTGATAAAATTCTATTGGTCCATTGAGAAGTGACAGTTTAATAGCTGTTCACTTTGATGGAAAGTGAATAGTTTTCTTTTATGGTCCATGACTTCGATGGAAGGCGAATAATTTTCTTTTATGGCAATGAAACTGTCACTCTCTGCCTATAAACGTGATTGAAACCCATCAAATAAAACATTCAATTACAAAAAGGAAATGAGAGAGAACGGTTTCTAGATTTCACCAGTTTCTATTTTGCATGTTTAAATCTTTCAATTATTATTATTGATCAAGTTATGTTTCTTGATCAATTAATCTATATGTGAAAATCATGAATTCTAAAAATCTTTGTATTATGATTATATAATTGCTTACTAGGGTTCAATGAATGGAATGAGGCATTTGATTTCAACGCGGCGTTATCGGATCACGATAAGCATGTGAAGAGGGGAGGGGAGGGGAGGGGAGGGGAGAAGGAGAGTGGTAATGGCGGTAATGGGGAGAATGGGGATGAGAATCATATTGATATTAATCCACTGTTAATCATATATTGAAGGTAATATACGTTTTTATTTATTTGATTAAAAGTTCTAATTTTGGATTAAAATTTCTGCATAGTATTATGCTAAAACAGAAGCAGATTTGGAATTAACCCTGTAAATTTTGAGTTTCATTGGTTTATTTTGCTAAATTTTGGTGGAAGTACTGTTAAGTATCCGTTGGGTTTAAAAAATGTATGTTCAGTGTGCAGTACTAGCAATGACTAAACAATATAATGATTAAAAAACAATATTTTAGCTTCTTTTTCTTTGTTAATGGTGTCAATTATTATTTATTGCATGTTTGTTTACCATTATTGTGATGAAAATGGTGTAATGAATAGTATTTTTTGAAGAATGTGTGGTTAAAATTGAAAGAAACTTTATCGGTATATGTGTAGAATATTTTATTATTTGAATGTGTGGTGGAAATTGATTACTGTAGAAAACAATGTTTTGAAAAATGGTAGACAAACAGGGGCTTAGTCTTTCCCACCAAAGGAGTTATAAATGAATTAACGGTGAGATAGCATAGTTTTCACTGGGCTAGGGAGGAGGACGAAACGACAGTGATACCAATAAAGATCGACTTGGAGTGAATCTATGCTTCATGCTGGTGGTAGAAGTATGCTCTTAGGCGTTAACTGATATTGATCGTGTTGTTTAGCGTGTGACCAAATGGAAACACTTTCAGCATCTGCCATCGTGTTCTTACTTCATGAGTGCATTTATAATTTTGTGCATTCATGTCTATTGTTGCAAGTTTAATCCTTGGCGTTATATTTGTTAATCAAGTTGTAGGGTATTTTACTAATCAATATATGATAGCGATTCTCCAGATCAAATTGTTTCGAACATTTGATAAATGAGCTGAAATTGCCATAGGTTTCGTTCAGGATGACCATAACATTGTCGAGTAGTTGTCTACACGTGGTTCTTGGCATCATTTAATATATTTCCATGTCGTCATTGATCAAATTATGGAATTAACTTTTGGTCGTTCAGCTTTCCTATCCGTTCTTGTATGGATTAAGTAAATTTGGCGATTTGGTCAATAGGAAGGTGAAACCATTCGGATAAATGTAAAGAATAAACCATCTTGTGGAACCGGCATGCTTTCGGCTGCAGGATTGTCTGGTGGAGTTACAAATGGAAAATCGAAAACTCTGGGTCTTGCACCAGGTAGAGTTAGGTCTGTTCTTCAGCCTCCGCCAAATGACCCTACTGCTGCTGCTAAGACTTCTGTCAAGGGAGCCAAGGAAAATGCAAGGCACTCGACTATTGCTTTTTCAGATCTCTCTCAACTTGACAATCTTCATTTTTATGTCATCAGTTATCTGTCCATTTAGCCCCTGTCAGAGCCCCATTCTTTAATTCACTTTTTTCAAATTCATTTTAAACCACATAATCTCAAATAAAATAATTTTGCATGTAAATCGAAAACTTTTACCTCATTTTTAGATCTCAATGTCAAGTCCCCATGCTTTCTTGGTTGACACTAGTACGTTGTTCTATGATTGTGCCAATTACGTAAGTTATATAGCAGAAAATTTCGCTTATGATTAATAAAGTTTGATGCTGGGAGTATGCTTTCTTAGTAGTTATGTTAGTAATTTTGAAAATACACTCATATGTGGATGAGCATTAGGATCGCAAACGTGTTTAGATTATTAGCGTAATTGGTAATTTTTTAGCAAGCAAGATTTTTACAGCATGTTTTGTTGTTTGCATCTGCAGAGGAATCTTCCTTCTACTGCTGGCTGGGTGAAATTTTGACAGACAACACATGGATTGATCTTGTTTTGTATGGTGGATCTCCGTGTTCGCTGTTGTACTAGGAAATACTCAAAAAATTAAATAAGTGTCAAGAAGTGAAAGAAAATCTATGTTCAATCCATGGAAAAGAACAATTGCCCTCAAAAAAGATAGAATTATGCTATTTATACCATTTGAGATAGATAATATACAATTCTTTGACATTTTTCTTCTACAGCATTAAAGTGACTATTATCTTATTGATTTTTGTTCGTGTTTAGTGTGTGTTTGTTTCCCATTATTGTAGAATAAATAAAGTAATGAATAGTATTTTTTTAAGAACATGTGGTTGAAATTTAAAATAACTTCATTGGTTTGTGTGTAGAATATTTTATTGGGCGAATGTGTGGTAGAAAATCTTATTGTAACAAACGCTGTTTTAGAATAATGAGAGACAAACTGAGCCTTAATCGATTTATGAACAACATCAAATGCCACATTGTCGGGACTAATATAAACTTGAATCAATGTACTTGAACCCATAACCTTTGTCACAGGAGTTGATACAAAAATAGTATGAGGGTGTTTGGTGGAGATTAAAATTAGATTTTTAGTAAATTATGATAGAAATTTTTGAAATGTGTGGTTGAAAAGTTATGAGACCCATGAAATATGTTAATATTGATTATTTGATTTTAACTTTGATTAAAATCATATTTTAATTAGAACCAAACAAGGCCTATATGTTAGTATGTTACTATAAATACGTAGGTTTATAAAAATAGTATGTGGATCAATCAATAGATGTTGATAACGATCATGAATATCTAATAAAAACTTCTAACATGGTAATGTGGATAAAAAAAAAAGAAGTCTACACATCTGCTTGCCCATTGCATTGTCGTCACCAACCAAAAACATTCAATTACTACCGCAAAACTTGGTCAGCCAAGAGAAGCCGTCCAGTCAATCGGACGATAACTGCTATAGAGGAGTCACCATCAACTTTAGTCGAAAAATTATTGATTGAAAATCATGGCATTTAAAAAAGAAAATTAAATACCAATTTAAATCAAATCCTAAAAGTAATTTTTTGCATTCGATTTTTATGTTCAGATTGATTTTTCTTCGAATCCATTGATGTTAATTTTGCAAGATATTATTTTACTTATATCGTACGTATTTCAGTATCTTGACTTTGTTGATTGTATTTTGAATTTTATTGTGGATTTTGTTCTTGGCAAATAGTCGTACAAACATGGCTAACAACCTTGACCGACATCATGTGTTGTCAAAATTCGGACAATTGAACAAATGGATAAATGTGATGGTGCCAAGTGTGTAGTTGTCAACTAATATTGTCAACAAAAGTTGAACAAGTAGCCTGATTTAATAGGCCAATACAGGGTACTTTTTATTTTTTATAAAATAAATTATTGAACAAAATTTATTTTATTTTTCACTACTTTTTTAGTTAAAATATATAAACTATTTATAGGGAGACACGCGGGCAAGAATCCGTGGCCACCTTCCGATCCACGCACTTAAGGGTGTAGGTAGCAACTGCCTGAAACGTAAATCTATATATTGTGTGTCCAAAAAATTGAGATCCTTAAAATCATACTACGCAGTTGAAGAAAGAAGAAAAATGGAGGAATCACACTGTATACAAGTGAATGGCATGCAATTCTCATACGATTACAAAACCCCTTTATTCTTCGATTTCAACCTCAATATCTCTGCCGGATCTCGATGTCTCCTTGTTGGCGCCAATGGATCTGGTTCACATTTTTTTTTAACTGAGAGTTTTAATTTTGTGTATTTTTTACAATTTTTTCTTGTGTTATAGTTTTTATGATAATTGATCGAACAGGGAAGACGACTCTGCTGAGGATATTGGCGGGGAAGCATATGGTGGGAGGGAGAGATGTGGTCAAAGTACTGAATTTTTCGGCTTTTCACGATACGAATCTTGTTTGCAATGGGGACTTGGCGTACTTGGGGGAATCTTGGAGTAAAGCTGTTGGTTCTGCTGTGAGTTTTTAAAGCTTTGATGTTGCTTAACCCCCTTAGTTATTATTAGCATTTTAAACCAGAATTCCATCCGTTGATTGATTTAATTTAATTTCACTTGTCATTGGGGGAAACTGATCATGGTAATACCAAATGGAAATTTTAAATTTAGTTTGCTCTTTTCTAATTTGAATGGTGCTTGTTTATGAATTTAAGAAAATCATTGGTGGTTCGTGGTTTCTATGGAATATTGTTTATTATGATAATGTCTTTAGTCAATATGTGTTCTTGGAAGCCAATCTGAGGTTCTGTATGACTTTGTTTTTAACAAATCGCAGGGAGAATTGCCGCTCCAAGGAGACTTCTCTGCTGAACATATGATATTTGGAGGTGTGTGAAACCTTCACTACCGTGTAGCTTTTAGTCGTGTAACGAGTTACTATTCCATTATACGATCAATTTCTTTCCACTTTTCTGGTGTCAGAAGTTTGAGTGTGGAAAGTGTGTTTATTTTTCAATTTTCTGGATCCGCACGATCAAATTATTCATAATGATATGATAGTTTAAGTTACATATTATCCTCTGGAATATATACTTGACTATTTATATTGTTGAGCCTGATGAGAAATGAAGACATAACTGAATTTCTCTTGCTTTCCCTTGTTATGATCCAGTTGAAGGGGTTGATCCTATTAGGCGAGAGAAGTTGATCGAACTGCTTGATATTGATCTGCAGTGGCGTATGCACAAGGTTTCTGATGGTCAGCGACGTCGAGTCCAGATCTGCATGGGTCTTCTTCATCCTTATAAGGTATCCTTTTGTCCTGCTTTTTTCGTGAGATGTTAATTATATATAGAGGAGTAAGAAACGCTTGTCGAAAAAAAGAATTTATATTTTGTCACATTTAGCCTGTTGTAGGGAACATAATAAATATTTTACAGACTTGTAAGTTGTTGATCCAATAATTTTATTTTTTTTTGATAACCGTGGATATCCGGGCCAGTTTGCGCACACCTCGACTAATTCCACGGGGCTCTGAAGTTTACGGTCGGGTACTCACCTCAGTGGCCCTGAGGAGACTCGATGTTACATTTACCTATCTTTTGTTCTCAGCCATTTGTTATTAATTGTATCTTTTCCTTTCATTCATTTTTATCTTCTTTTTTTTTTTGTGGGTGTTGGGTGGGGTGAAGGTGGTAGAATGAGAGGAGAGGGCACGGAGTAGAGCTCAAGAAGAATCTTTTTCTAGCATTTTTTGTGCTGAGTCTTTGCTCTCCAAATTCCTTTTCATTTTTGTTCTTCCGCTTCTACGCTCTAGGCGAGGGATAAATAACATCCAGTTTTGGCTTGCGGAGCTGAAAACGTGGCAATATCTATCCTCTGCAAGAATGTGCATGAAGTGGGTAGATCGCACAGTTTGGTCTAATCGTGTCAATGTCTTTTGCCTAGAATTGTTTCAGTGGACGATGTTTTTGCTAATCTTACTAGTCTTATCCAGGTTCTTCTGCTAGATGAGGTCACTGTTGATCTAGATGTAGTAGCTAGGATGGATTTGCTGGAATTTTTCAGGGAAGAGTGTGAGAAGGTAATGTTTACTGATCTATTTATGCATTCGTGGATGGGGAATTAGCTTATCTTGTTGAATTGTGCCTGCATATATTGGATCATTAAGCATCAAGATCTGATCTTCTAATACGCTTTAAGTACTTTTTTTATGACTCGTAAAGTCCTAACTTGAAAGTTCATCATGATTGAAGTTGTTACGGTGCCACATTTGCTGTCAATATATGACGAGCTTAAGGAATCTTCTGAACCACAATGTTATGTTCATTAATTTATTGTCATGATTTCAGAGAGGAGCAACAATTGTTTATGCAACCCACATTTTCGATGGGCTGGAAACATGGGCAACTGACCTCGTCTATGTTCAAGAAGGTGTATTGAAGAGGTCAGAGAAGCTGTCCGAAGTTAAAGAACTGAAGGATTTGCCTAATTTGCTTTCTGTGGTCGAGTCTTGGCTTCGATCTCAGACCAAGATTGAGAAGAACCCCATTAATCCTACACCACAAATCAAAAAATCCTCTCCATTCGATACCTCTCCTTTTAGATCTTCGAGGCACATGGCATATTACCGTTGATATAATCAACCACAACAGATATAAGGCATTGGATTGAATTCTTCTTTGATGTCAAGACAATAGCTATGAATAGTCATTTGTTTCCAAGAAAGGGTAGAAATATTAGTTCTTTGTGAAACACATGGTAACATGATATTATTGGAGTGTTGTATATTTCTCCGATATTGTGTACTTCAAAGGTATTGTACTTGAGATTTTTATTCAATTGTTTTTAAGTTTAAGATTTTGGGTGTTAAATTTGTGACACCGGACAGAATAGCGATTATTCTGCAGGTTGGATTCAGCCGATAACTAACTGAGAAAACACTAAGAAAACAAGAAAATTCTTTATTATTCGTCCAACATCCGAAAATAACCCACAAGCCAGATTATATAGTTAAAAAAATCATAATTATCGAAAATTTATCAAAAATAACAAAATCTCAATATTCATACCAAAAGAAAGTACGTAATAAAAGAAATAATATCCCAAAAATCTCGCTTAAATAAAGTTCGTAATATGTTAAAAAGGTAAACGAAATATTACCAAAAAAGGAAAAAAATAACTAAAATTGGGGATTCGAAAGGGAAAACAGTAGTTTTTGCCCTTGAAACCGATGCACACCGAGCGAAGCTAGTGACCACGACGTGCGCGTCGAAAATAGCTTTCTGCATTGGGGTCATGAGCGTGATTCTGATAACTGTAACCAAAATTATGACCAAATAAAACGTGTCCAAAAATGTCCCAATTAGGAAAGATCGTCGATTATTTGTCATTTTTACACTGATCTGCCAACTCATGGTACCTCAACGCCATCAACAAGCTATCGGACAACTCGATTTCATGTGACTCGAATCCTCCTACATCAATTTGTAAGAATCACTTGGTTATAGACTTTGTTGGGAGGATTAAAAAGTTGATCTATAAAAAAGAGTGGTTGAAAGTGTATAGTAATTATGAGATTTATATAATGTATGGTTAAAATTAATTGTCAATTTTGATCTTTTAAGCAACTTTTTAATTTTTTTCAAACAAGCACTTAGGGTGCGTTTAATTGCAAATGTGGAAAATGGGTGGAAAGAAAATATTTTACAGGGAAAAGATTTGCCTAGAAAATGTTTTGTAGGGAAAATGATTTCAAGTGTGTTTGATTGGTATAATTTTCCACCCGGAAAATTTTTAAATTTTCTATTCGTTTGGCTTTGTTTTACATGGAAATTGTCCATTAAAGTGATATTTTTTTCCACAACTGGTCATAAAATTTGTTTCTATTGCCAAAAAGTAAAAAAAAAAATGAAAAAAAAATTGTTTCCTAAANAAAAATAATTTTTTCCCGCCGGCCTGGAAAATTTTTTCCCACCCAAAAAGCCGAAAAATGCACACGTGTGGAGGAAAGTAGGAAAATATTTTCTATGGAAAATTTCGCCTATCAAACAGTCAAAAAAGTGGAAAGTGGAAAATATTTTCTTAATTCCCTGAAAAATTTGACGTATCAACCAAGGTCTTAGAGTTTGATGGCTCTTGGTGATTGAAAAGGCAAATAATTTCAAGTTAATGGTAAAAAAATTGGAGATTTTTTATAGTGATGTTGATTGCTTTTGTACTAGATAGCTGTCCCTTTTTGACATTTTTTGTTCCCTTTAAGGAAAATTGTAGTATTGGTCCCTAGTCTTTTTAATTTTTATAGACTTTAACCTAGCCTTCAATTTGTACTAGAGAAGGTCCCTAACATTTCATAAATATGTAGTTGAGGTCCAAATGGATGAAAACCGTCCATTTGACCGTTAGTTGACTAATATTTTGCAAAAAAAATTGATATTTTGATCATTTTAAGCATGGGCATTTTCCTCAATTCTATGACAACATTTTATTTTACAATATAAATACAATTGTCTGGGATAATTAAATCAAAAAACAAAAATTCAAATCAAAAGGTTACCACCCACCCCACCCCACCCCACTCAACCCAACCTAACCCAACCCAAAACCAAACCCAGAAAACTCACCATCGTCGACTGATCAACCTGCGACAACCACATATCACTAAAAACCGTAAATCGCCACCACCGTAAACCTTAAATTGCCACCACCTCCACCACCATCAAACCATTAAACCCAGCTTTTTCATTGCGAAGAGGAAGAACCTAAAACACGACAGAAAGAAAAACCATCGAACATCAAAATTAGAAAACATTTGAAAACCAAGTTCTACAAAGGACCGTCGAACATCTACAGAAAATCAGAAATTGATTTAATAAAAAATCACAGAAGATCAAAATCAACACAAGTCGGTGGCTACCCAATCTAGAAAAACCACTGGCCACCTAATTCGCCATAATTTCTTCCCTAGTCGAGGCCTCGATGCACAAATCTCCACCTACGGTCACACCCATGGTCGCGCCTCACTGTCGGTAGTCTCACCAACTATAGGCGAGCATATTCATGGTGGAACAACATCAAATCTAGAGATAGGGATAGGTTGAGTTTTTAGGTTTTCAAAATATTTAATGATGGGTTGGGTTTTCATGAATTCGATGGATGGTTGGGAGAGGGAAATCTACGGCCAGCGGTTGTGAGTTTTCTGGGTTCAATTTCGGGGTGGGGTGGTAACCTCTTGCTTTGATTTTTTTTTTATTTATATTGTAAAACATAATGTTGTCACGAAATTAACGAAACTGTCCTTACTTAAAATGATTAAAATATCAATTTTTTGTAAAATATTGGTTAACTAACAGTCAAATGGATAATTTTCATCCATTTCGACTTCAACTGTATATTTATGAAAGGTTAGAGACTTTTTTTTGGCACAATTGAAAGTTGTGATAAAATCTACAAAAATTGAAAAGGGACCATTGTTGCAATTTTCCATTCCCTCTACATGAATTCAAATTACTGTTATCCAACTTTTTTCAATTTTAGATTTGACTGCATCAACAACATTCCAACTAATAGAAGTGAACTTGTTTTTAATACATCATTTACATATGTAGCTAGATGGTAAATACTAATATACTGTTAGTTTATTATATAAATATATTTTTTATTTTCTGAAAATGTAAGATATTAATATTTAATTTCCGTTTTAACGATTTTTAAATACATGATAGATGAAGGAGATTGTCTTAAAATGATAATTGACAAGTGAAGCTACGTAGACAGGGTCGTGCCGATTGGCCAGAAGAGTCGGGATCGAGGAGATTTTTTTCTTTTTTATGAAAAACTTTAAAGTGATAATTAGCAAAGCAATCCTTGTGGCTTGTGGGTATATTATCTATTTTCTCTCTTTTTCTAAAAAAAAATATATATTATTTGTTACCCCACCCCCGTAAGCAATTTGCTCTTAACCATACAGGCATACACGGATACACCCACTGTTTTTCTCCCTAAACTATTCATTTCCTTTTCATTTTTCCTACTTTCTATTCATTTATTCATTTATTTTCTTTTCTTTCCAATCCCTCAATTATCGCTCATTTGTCTCCCCCAATTTTCTTCCTCATAATCATCGTACTTCAATTAATCCACTTCCGATGAAAAAACTAAACAAAAAAACAGTTACTTTTCGAATATCATTAATATCAGTTTAGATATCGTCTGGTTCTGTGTAATTTTTCGATCGACGAGGATTGATTGTAATTTCTTGATTTGGGTTTTGTATCCGTTCGAGGATGTAGTTTAAGAACTCAAAAGGGAAACTTTTTGATCAGTTCATTTTTATTTAATTCTTGGATCCAGTGTGGGGTACGGTGACTTTTTTTGGTAATTTTGTTTCTGGGAGGTGGGGGATTTTTATCCTAAATGCTGGATTTTCATCGGCGGTAATCTGGGTCTTTTTTTCATCCAGAGCTGCCGTTGAAATTGGGAAAAAGAAATTAGGTTCTGGGTGTTGGGGGTGCTATTGGAATTTTGGGAAGTTGGATAAAATCAATTGCGATGGAGCATGCTGTGGGTGGAAAATTTAAGCTTGGGAGGAAAATTGGGAGCGGTTCATTTGGTGAACTCTATTTAGGTACTTTTTCTTTCTACACGAGACTTGTTAATTAAATCCTTTTTTTTTTCCTGTTATTTTTATGTTACTGTTAAGGGATTCTTGTTCCTCTTCATGGATCATGTATGCTTCATCGATACAGGTGTCAACATACAAAATGGAGAAGAAGTAGGCGTCAAGCTGGTATGCTTGTTTATTGCTTTACATCTGTTATTGTTCTTGCTTGTGTTGTATTGGGCTTTTTATAGTATTATCAACATTTGCAGCAATTTTATATTTTTTTCTCTTAAATGTATCCACGATTTTACTCAATTTCATTATCATTAATTTATAATCCTGCATTTAGTGGGAAGGAATAATTTGGATGAAACAAGAATCATAGAGATGCAACAACAAATTCAACCTATCGTGTTGTAGGATAATTAGAGACCAACAAAGTTTTCGCTTAAAGATGTAATCCTAAAGGCTAGGTTCTCCTGGCAAATTCTGTACTCAACATTTGATGGTGGACCATTAATTTTCGTTACTACTTCATGTTAGAATGGTGAACTTGTATAACTGAGGCAAACTGTGCCCAACTTGTAAGCGCTAAATGTTTCTTTTCTGAAGACAGATAGAAATTAATAGTAATCAGATTCAGCTTGCTATTCCGTCTATGCATGACAGCTTAGGTTTATTTCCGACTTCTTAAAATTTCTAAGCACTCACGTGAAGAAGATGCAAGTTACTTGTAGGATAAAAACCTGAGAAGATATGAGCTAATATTATTCTCGCAAAATTTATGATTGTCACCTGTAAGTTTTTATTGTAACTACTGCAATTATCAGGAATCTGTGAAGACCAAGCACCCTCAACTTCATTACGAGTCAAAAGTCTATATGCTTCTCCAAGGAGGAAGTAAGACAGTCTCTCTTTGTCTCGCTATTATGTGCAATTCAGAAGTTTCTTTGATTTGATGCTAAGTGATTTTTTTTAATCCCTAGCAACTTATATCTGCATTCCTATGCCATTCTTGACACCTGTTACATATTT